CATAACAACAAAGTTATATTTGACATACCCTGGATTATAACTTCTTATGAAGAACAAAAGCTGTTAATAAGTCAATAAACCAGGGCAGAATTAGAAAGAGAACAGAGGAAGACATCCACATAGACCTGTACATATATATTCAGAAGGAAATCTCATTATGTACATAAAATTGAAATCAGAGGGGTTGTTCACTATAGACATTTTTCTTTCTTGTCCAATGGGAATTTTCCTAAGTGTGTATGCAATGACTGAAAGATGATGAATGATTCAACTGAATGGGCCTTACTGTTCATCACAGGATTAGAAGGATTGCATACACAGGATTGCATTACCAGCCTACCTGAAGTCTTGAATTCCAGTCTGCAATATAAATATCACTGCTCTATTCAGATGTTTTTCATTAGAAAAAAGCAATTTAGAATGATAGAACTGAAATGAAATTCCTGCTTTTCTGTGTTACAGTGTTATCCAAAGTGTGCCACAGAATTGTTGCAGACCTCAGGTTATATGAGCTACAGTACTTCAATATGCAGTGAAGTTATTATTTCAATGTATAACTTGGACTTGGCTCCATGTCTTTAACTGAATTCATGTCCTTTTAAAAGCCCAGGTTTATGGGCCATATATGAAGATTTAAATGTCATCTTTGTTGATAATTCCACTGATGATCAATGTAATATTGTTAATCTTTATTTTACAACTACTGTGTGTCTACTCCTTTACATATCAAACCCCACTCTGAACATGTGTATTTTACTGTACATGCAAAGTTCACTTCCTTTCCACCAGAAATTCATGTGGGGAAATAATAAGTGGGCAATCTCATGAGGTCAGTGCTATTAGTGACAAGCAGTTTATTCCTCAACAGGATTCAACCATGCCTCCCCCAAAAAAACTTTAGCCACCCTAGAAATTAGGAACTCACCTATCTTTATATTAATAATAAAAAGTGTAATTTGACTCATAGCTAGCATGCAGTCTATATGACTTCACAGCAGTAAATCTGTCTTCCGAATTGTACATAGCATATTTATATCGATTATTTTTTCCTTATTTGCTACATAAACTATCTTGCAAAATTTTATCAGGAATATTTGTAACAAGATGCTGTACTTCCTTAGTAGTTGACTGTAACTACTAAATTACATGTAGTACTGTAGATGTTACATTTTTATGCTACTTATGCTGACTGACACCTGAACATTTTAATGTAGTGGATAAACAAAAACATTAACAGAAATACTTTCATGGGAGAAAATGTTTAACATTAGTATTTTTCTGAATCACATAAGGAGATTCAGAAAAATACTAAAACTACATTTCAGCTCTGTACGTGAAACATCAGTTTGATGGTGGGGACACTTATGAGCCGTATATTGCACAGGACTCTGTGGGGCTTACTCATGATATGTAGAACTGAACCGGAAATCTGGAAATTGTGCAATGGCAGATAAAAATATGATCACTGTAATCTGCTGTGCTGTCTTGGTGCAATATATGCATATCTAGTATATAATTAACCAATGAATATATTACTGTTTCAAAAACCATTATTCATTACAAAATGTTTAAATGAATGAGAATCACCTCACACTCCAAAGTCAAAATCACGCACACATACAGAATTGAGACTTTCAAATAAATGCTTAGGAAAAGTTAGCTGTATCCATCTGTTTCTTTTGGCATTAATAATAATTCTTGTGTTTTCTTTTAAGATGTATATTATTGAGATAAAACTTGTGAGTTAGACTCCCCCTGTATTTTTTTCATCTTTTTTGCTCATCTCCATTTTCCTCTGTGTACTCATCAGTTATCTATTATTGCAAAAATAAAGATTCTGCAATTCACATTACAAAACCAGAAGCCTGGAAATCCTACCAAGATAAATGTGAACCTCTCATGTCTTTACTCTGCATAAAACAACTGCAGTTATCTCTTAACTTCAGTGAAGATTTTTTTTTCTTGCCATATACACTTTTTCAAGATCAGACGTTTTATTAGTGAAATAAAATTAAGCAAACTTTCAAAACCAAATTAAAATAATGTACTGACCTTACAACTTTGAATTATTTTTCATTTCTTTCAGATAATCTCATCTTTATCTTTAGTACTTTCTAGAACTTCTTGATTTAAGAATAATGACACATATAGGGAGATTCTTGGAAATATGTCATCAGGCCTTATTAACCTATTCAAACACCACTTCTGCTTATAATAATGTTTTTGCTGGAATTATTTGGCCAATCAAATTATTTTGCTTCAAGTGAACAAAATCTAAATGATTTATCATAAACCTATAGTTAATGGATATGAACCATAATACTTCCTACTATCTTAAATATAGTTCCAAAAGCCTGAATGCTGTTTTGTGTGACTACTTTCTAGCGCTACATAGAATATTAATTTTTTGGTACACCTTAATAAATCACAGAACATTCCCTGCTGAATAATGTATATGATATGTCATTTTCAGAACTGACATTCATGCCTGTTTGCTAATTCAAAACACCAGAAGTTATACAGATGAAATGGTGTCTTCATTGCCATCACTGTGCTTATGAATTAAGTTAAAACAACCAGATTGGGAAATTTGTATTCTTTCATAGAATAAGTGGAGCACAACAAGAAGTAAAGAATACAGCCCCCCCCCCGCCTTCTCACCAATTGCAACTGTAAGCAAGAACTGGTAGACAGTACTTTATTAGTCAGAAGTCCTATAGTAAGCACACGTTAGACAAATTAATCATTCATTCCCTGCAGACTGCTTAGGTATTTCATCAGGCCATTATCTGATCTGAATAACAAGAACAATTGCATAATGAAATGCATTACTGCTGACACCAGCAACTTTATCCCATGTACTTAAAAATGCAATACCTCTGTATCACAAAAGGCAAGAACCACCTCCTTTCAAATTCCTCTTTTTCCTTTGGAGCTAGCCCCTTGTAATTTCTTATCTACCTACATTTTGAACTGTGTGCAATTATCAAAATATATCACACATTAACAAGGATAACTATGCCCATGGAAGTGATAGCAAGTTACTCCCACAGCATCAAGACCATTTGTAGAGACAAAAGTTCAGCAGTGCCATCAAATATCTTCTAGTTCAAGGAGCACATGAAAAGTTTGCAGTGAGTATCTCAGATCAGCTATGGTGTATCCTTGTCTCAAATAGCAATGGTGACTGTTGCTAAATACTAAATGACAATGTTCAGAATGCGCAAACAATCCCGTTTCATGGATTACCTGCCTAGGAACCAATAACAACCTAAGAGCCTTGTACAGCTAAACACAGTTCCTGGAAATACAATTGCTTTTGCAAGATTCACTCTGTTACATTTCAAACACCATTAAACAACACTTTCACTGCCACAGATGCTGCTGTTTAAAGACTGCTCTGATTCAGCCACTGTTCATCTATTAAAGTCAACGCTAATTCATCCTCCCTAGAACTTGCAAACCTGTAACTTCCTACTGATCTCATTGTTATATTTATGGCAACTGTAAGCAATCATGATTTTACTGTATATGCTGACAATGCTCTGTGATATTAATATCTTAAGCCACTTTTGCTTAATTTGTCTCAGCACTGTGCATGCAAATCTGATTAGAAGTGTTAATGAATGATTTTGCAAAAAGAGAGAGGGCATGTTTCATAATTATACTTTGAAAGAAAACTTTCTTAATGTACAATTAAATTTTCAGAGTTACACTTAACACATAAGGAACTTTATACTTCCAAATGCTGGAAATAATAAGAAATCCCAAACTTCTGACAGGATTAGAGTGGTGGAAGTATTATTTATACTAAGTGCTTGTTGCTACTGCTTCACCCTTTGTTACATTGTTTTGGTTTATATTTTGGAGAAAAGTATAGGTTAATGCACAACTTTATGTACAACACATATCAAATGTTTGTCTTAAGAGCACAAGGGGAGAGTATTTAAATCAAAATCCATTTGGCAATAACAAGCAATGCTGAGATGTTATTGATTGAATCCAGTATATTCAGCACAAACGGATTCAACTGTTTCTACTGACACAACAGTTTCTGTTAAATGTTTGAAAACACTGACTAATTATTATACTTATTGTTTTCAGAGAGACTCTGCTCATCACTAACCACTCAGACCCTTCCTGGAATTAATAAATCCTCAGTTCCATCTCTGGTGGTCAAAAATGAGAAATGATTGAATAAGCAGCCTGTATGTTTGACCCAAGGGAATAATGCTCCCCAAACTTTCTGATGCAATTATTTTTCTTAAACGCCAAAATAACAGGTATATCTCTTTGTTTAAAGATTTTACTTTCTTGCCATTATCTAATCTAGTTCACAATATTCCTTGCTTATCCAGAATCACTTCTCCCACATGGTACATGTTTGCTCTCTCATATGCATACAGTGCTAAAGAAAGCTCAGGAACCCTGCTCTACCTCTGCACTCAGTCCTCAAAAACATTGCTTAGCTATTTAAAAAAAAAACACCAACGAAACCAAAGATTTAAGACCCTCCGTCAAAAGGCGAGAGCGTTGGAAAGGGAGGTAAGGCAACTCACTCAGCCCAAGCAACAAAACCACTGTGAGATTGCTACCTTATCGTTATGGAAGACTGAACTGACACCAAAGGTTCCCTTTCCATTTCAGATCCTCTAGGTGTCCACTGAGGAGCAGGTTTCTGTGGGGTGGAGGGACAATGGCAACCCTATGTTTCCCCAGCTCGGTACAGTACTATTCACAGCAGCAGCAGCAACAATGCAACTCTGCACAACTCTTCTGAGAGAAGATGCCCAGTTATGTTAAAACAGACAAGGAAGAATAGAAAATCAGCGCACTCCCCCCCACACACTAACTATCGGCGCCCTAAGCAAAGTTACAGTACTCCAGATGATGCGAAGAGCCAAATCTTTCTCGCTTAGCGGACCCGAAAGGAAGAAAGCACCATCACATCGGGAGCACAAAGCCGAGTCTCCAAAAAAACGCGCCCGATCTCGACTTACTCGATGCAGCCAGCTCGGACCTCTCCGGAAACCTTCAGGAGTCTTCGGCTTCCCGCTCCAGCCGGTTACATTTCAAACGAAGAGTGCTCCTATTCCACAAAGGCCACGACGGGACTGCAAAGGAACGACAGCCACATGTCACACA